CTTCAGAGTCAAGAGGACTCATGGGCCCGGTAACTGAATTCGAGAGAATAACATTTCCTAAAAATCAGTGACGTGCCAGAGTCGGATCGCTGTTGGACGACTCTGCTACGAGCTGTGCTAGTGACTGCACAGCTCGTAGCAGAACACGCAGGATAGTGTTCTTAATAGCACTATCCAGGCTATTAAGAACTCGAGTGAAGAGGAACGAGGAATGGTTGTACTGGATAGCAAGCCGGAGGGTCTCAAACAGCGCCCAATGAGTAGTCCCAGTGAAGTGAACACAGAGGGTAATTAGTGCACTGCCAGACACTAAACTTATGTTACTCCATTGACATTGGAGCATTTAAGAGCGGTGGCCTATGAATGGGGCCGCTGTATCATTCCAGTGATTATTTATGAAGATTATTATATTCTGACAATTGCATTTAAATAACGTGATTGTTCAAGAAGTTCAGTTGTCGTAGCTGAGGCTGCTCTGTCATTGATTATAACTCTGAAGTTATAATCTTCACTATATAATGAAGCTTTCTTAATTGTCATTCTTGTGCGTCATTTAATTATAAAGCAAGTGTGTTTAAATGAGTAATCACTTTCTTTCTCCTTTCTGCTTCTGATGATTGTCTGACTTAGTGCTGAATTCACACAAACGAACACTGAGAATAATGCGGGAGGAGGCTATTGCCTTGATCTGGATCACGCCTGAAGAATTGGTTTCTGTCTCTATACGAGTGTGTCACATTCCTGACAATACGCATATTACCGGGGTCACGTCCAAGTCAAAAGTGTCATGCTGGCGTGATTCGTGTTAGTAGAATACATAGTAAGATAGTGTTACTGAGAAGTCAATAGGGAATACATAACCTGCCGTTGTTCCCGGGGGCGCTACCTGAAAGTCGCATTCAAGTTCTGGTGATGTTTTGAGCTGTCACTGGGTGGAGTATCCAGTGTCCGAAGAGTTTATGTGATTGGTAGCGTGCGGCCCCGTGCTACAGCGGTGCTCATGGCGACGAGGCCTACAAGAGGCCGGACAGCAGGCTGGAAGATGGACGACGTTTGAGTCTTCTCTCTGCTCCACTGCTCTCCGGGGAGCCAAAAGTGAGTTGTATGTACTGAGGTCCTTTTGGCTGTGAGGCAGATTGGGAATGTGCCAGTGGGCACAGCAGGAGTTAGCAGACACAGCAAAAGGTGTGGGCGGATACAGGAGGTGTGGAAGGACACAGGAGATGTAGGCGGGCACATGGTACTCTGACGAGGCTGTGTAAGACTCGGTGGCATTCTGACATTTCCAGCTTGTGCTCCGCCCACGTCGCTGCGTTATAGTACTCTACACCTCGCCCACCACACCCACACCCACCCCTCACCCGCCCACCCCCCCCCCCCCCACACCCACCCGCCCACCGACCCCTCGCCCGCCCACCACACCCACCCTCACACCCCCATCACACTCTTCAGAATGACATCCTGACATTTCACAGTGAATATTCATCCAGTTAATTCACGTTATTTTGTCAAATTTCCGATAATTTGGTCGTTATGATTGGTCAAAATAGGGACAGGTGTCCAAGACTTCTTTCTCCACACTGGCCACCTGCATCTTGCCACCCCGGTACCTGCCGCCCACCACACAACCACCTCCGCACATGAGAGACACACAACCCACATAATATTAACTAGGTAATTCATACGTCCGACTGCGAACAGCGGTGTCCAACAGCCTGGTTAAGACGACCAAGGTCGTCTGGTTGGAGACAGAGCCGCGGGGAACGCTGATCTTCGGAACCACTTCAAAGGTGGTTTAAAATATTCTTATTCCCAGAAGACAATAACGTTGTAATGTATACTTGTATTTTGTATGACGTCACAATTGTGAGGTCAGAGTGACGTCACTATTGTGAGGTCAGAGTTATGGAGAAATATAGAAAGAAATAAGAAATGTAGCCATGGGAACCTACTGGTCGTAAAGAGGGGAGTGGGGGTCACCCCCTGACCCGTCTATCACAGTCTCACACCCCACACCAGTCATCTTGCAAAGGTTAATGAGGCTAGCCGCAAACGTCAGGCTTTCAACGTTGAACAGACGAATATTGTCTTACAGAAATAGGTGTGAGGTGAGGAGCCGCTCTCCTGGGGTCAGCCGTGACATGACCCCGTGACCTAGTGGGTGACATTGTCACCTTTTATATCCTCTATCAAGGTCAGGACAGTTACGTAAGAGAGGTGCTTATCCTCCGCCCGTGGGTGACAAGATGTGTGTGTTGAGTTAGGGAACTTTCGCAGTTTGTGTACCTAGTACAAGACCCGAATTGAATTTGATGAACCATATAGTATATAGTACAATGTATAGTATAGTATAGTACATATAGTACAATGATTAACTGTATTATTCAGGTGAAAGACGCGACTCATCCTAGACAAGTTAATTCACTCAAGTCAACCCCACAGAGGTAATGGGGCTACACCCACACCCCCTCACATAACCCCCTAACCCCATTCCCCCCCAACCCCCCTTCTCCAGCTTCCCCCCCACCGACGCTGCCAGTGGTACATGAAGTCCGTGCACACCCACGTCAGTAGTGGGAGGAGGTGACCACGCTGCAGGGGGTGTTCACCTCCATCCTGCCTCCCACCGCTGACCTTTGACACCCCGCCTCCCCCTCCCCCCCCTCCCGATGATCTTTGCACTTCACCAGTAATGCTGAGCACCCACACTTCTGCTGGCCTGTGACCACTGTTGATGAGCATAGTGCTCCTCCTCCTCCCTCATCACCTGTGTCTCTGTCTCACACACACACACACACACACACACACACACACACACACACACACACACACACACACACACTCACTCACTCACTCACTCACTCACTCACTCACTCACCCACTCTCACTCTCTCCTCTCTCTCTCTCTCTCTCTCTCTCTCTCTCTCTCTCTCTCTCTCTCTCTCTCTCTCTCTCTCTCTCTCTCTCTCTCTCTCTCTCTCTCTCTCTCTCTCTCTCTCTCTCTCTCTCTCTCTCTCTCTCTCTTTCTCTCTCTCCGTCCATCTCCATCCTTTGATTCATTCCTTAGTGAAGGGAGAATGGAACATTTTTGTGGGATTCGGGCTCGACCCGTGCCACAAGAGCACCCGGTTGGCTGCCCTCTTGACCTGCTGACGCTGCCCAGTTCCTCTCGCTCAATTCGGTCGACGGAGCTAGTCTTGGATGATGACACCCTCCTCGTATTGTCCACCTGGCGACGGTGTTCGTGTCCCGTGATGATGGACGTGTCAGGGACCTGCCTGTGGCCAGGGACCTGTATGTGGCCAGGGACCTGCCAGTGGCTAGGGACCTGCATGTGGCCAGGGACCTGCATGTGGCCGTCTTCCCCGCTGCTGATGAGTGCCGCAGCTGTGACACAAGTTTCTGTCTGGCAATAGATAATCGAGGCTGACAATCACAAGGCAGATCGACCAAACGCTGGCAAGCAATATTTCCGTGTGAGGAGGATGGGTTATGAAGTTATCCATTCAAATCGACCAGTTGAGGCTACTGATCACATGCCTCTGTATGAATAACCATCCTTACAGATGGGAATCTTAGTTTGTATCAAGTGTTAGCTATGTGATGCTATGTAAGTCTTCATATAGTTTAGCGTTGCTACATAAATGTTGGTACATAGTGCCAGGCGGAGGCGCTGCGACAGGAAGCTGGCACCCACTGAGCTTCTAGTTGTTGCCATGAGGCAAGAACTCAACACTATGGAAAACACTTGACTTGTTTATCCCAGGGGATTGACGCTGTTGAAACAGATGCTTTGATGGTTCAGTCTTCTACACTTGGCGGACGAGGTTACTTGCCTGTGATCCGCCGCCAACATTGAAGGGGATGCAGGTGTTAGGGAATATACCCGCCAGTAGCTGCCTGTCATTTTTCCAGGGATATAATATATCCCCATCTAGGAAGGAAGGAGAACTGCCAGGATTATTGAATCTAAGAAATCGAGGTTTTCCTCTGCTAGAGAAGGTATCTTTTGATATCATTGACGTTAATGTAACTCGTATTGCAACTTGCAATGATTCCGTTATACCGTATTAGTGGGCTGCCACCTTGCCTCAGATACACCTATACTTAGTGTGAACACGAGGTCAGTGAGGCTGAGGGCCATTGTGAGAGGAAACACACACACCCAGTTACAGTTGTGGCGTGGGTGAAGAGTGTAGGGTAGCTACCCTACATCTTATCCTACCCTAGTGTAGGGTAGTATGTACTTACCTCCTTACCAGGACACCTGTTACACCGTTCAGAAGACAAGACGTCTCAGAGGCGCACAGCTCATGTTCACTAAACTCAACCATGTATATAACTGCCAGGTGTGTGGATGTGAACATGTGTTTGATGTATCATATAACACTGGAGGCAGGTTGAAGTAGATATAACCACTTGAACACTGTATGGGGCAGCAGAAGCTACTGGTAGCCTAGCCTAAGGCTAGACCAACACCCAGCCTCTACTCACACCTCATACCCTGCTTCCACTACCTCATAAAGCCTCTACACTACTGTATCTTTAACTCATCCTCAGTCTAACCACAACAAAAGTGTTATTAAAACGGTTATAACAACGAAGATATCCAGGAAGAGAGGAAGTGTGTAAAGGAGAAGCATATAGAAGAGTGAGGAGAGTGTGTGTAGAAGAGAGAGTGTATAGTGAAGAGAGTGTAGAAAAGAGTGTATAGAGGAGGGAGTATGTAGAAGAGAGAGTGTATAGAAGCCACTAGAAGAGTGTGGTGTGTATAGAGGAGTGTGAATAAGAGGAGAGAGTGAGTGGAGGAGAGAATAGGTATTATAGAGGGAAAAAGATATATAGAGTAGAGGCGAAAAATAAATGCAAGAGAAAGGAAGTAAAGGAAGGGGGGAGGGGGAAGAATGAAGGTGAGTATATACATATGTATGAGGCATGTATAGAGAGAAAGGTCAGCATGTAAGTTAGGCTGAGGTTAGTGAAGACGAAGAACGGGTCACCTGGTACAGCATCTCTCCCTCGAAGTATACGAAGTGATGCTTGCGCGCTCTCAACAGGATCCCCACCACTTTGTCAGAGATGGTGATGTACAGCTGCACGGGGGTCACGCCAGGGGTCACAGGTCAGAGGTCACACGCCAGGGGTCACAGGTCAGGGGTCACACGCCAGGGGTCAAGGGTCACACGTCACAGGTCAGGGAGTTATAGAGGTCAGGGATTATACGCCAAGGGTTATTAGATGTCACGAGTCATTTAAAGTAAGGGGTTGAAAGATTAAATGAGGATGAAAGTTGAATAGCAGAGTTCAGTGGTCACGCAAAGGTCAAGGGTTTAGTGGTCAAAGGTCAATAGTCAGTCAGTGGTCAAAGGTCAATAGTCAGTCAGTGGTCAAAGGTCAATAGTCAGTCAGTGGTCAAAGGTCAATAGTCAGTGAGCGGTCAGTTGTGGAAATAAAAATATTGTTAGTATTTTGCTGCAAATTAAGTATTATAGTTATTATAATTATGATAATGACTGCCATGTTGTCATTATCCACGTGGTCAGTATGGGCAAGTGTTCCTGTGTGTCTCCGGTCTCTATATGTGAAGAGCAACACTGGAGAGGCGCAACACTGGCGAGGAACAACACTGGAGAGGAGCAACACTGGAGAGGAGCAACACTGGCGAGGAACAACACTGGAGAGGAGCAACACTGGCGAGGAACAACACTGGAGAGGAACAACACTGGAGAGGAACAACACTGGAGAGGAGCAACACTGGAGAGGAGCAACACTGGAGAGGAGCAACACTGGAGAGGCGCAACACTGGCGAGGAACAACACTGGAGAGGAGCAACACTGGCGAGGAGCAACACTGACGAGGAACAACACTGGAGAGGAGCAACACTGACGAGGAACAACACTGGAGAGGCGCAACACTGGCGAGGAACAACACTGGAGAGGAGCAACACTGGTGAGGCGCAACACTGGCGAGGAACAACACTGGAGACGGGCAACACTGGAGACGGGCAACACTGGAGAGGAGCAACACTGGAGAGGAGCAACACTGGAGACGGGCAACACTGGAGAGGAGCAACACTGGAGAGGAGCAACACTGGAGACGGGAAACACTGGAGAGGAGCAACACTGGAGAGGAGCAACACTGGAGAGGAGCAACACTGGAGAGGAGCAACACTGGAGAGGAGCAACACTGGAGAGGAGCAACACTGGAGAGGAGCAACACTGGAGAGGAGCAACACTGGAGAGGAGCAACACTGGTGAGGAGCAACACTGGAGAGGAGCAACACTGGAGAGGAGCAACACTGGAGAGGAACAACACTGGAGAGGAGCAACACTGGAGACGGGCAACACTGGTGAGGAGCAACACTGGTGAGGAGCAACACTGGTGAGGAGCAACACTGGTGAGGAGCAACACTGGAGAGGAGCAACACTGGAGAGGAGCAACACTGGAGAGGAGCAACACTGGAGAGGAGCAACACTGGAGAGGAACAACACTGGAGAGGAGCAACACTGGAGAGGAGCAACACTGGAGACGGGCAACACTGGTGAGGAGCAACACTGGAGACGGGCAACACTGGTGAGGAGCAACACTGGTGAGGAGCAACACTGGAGAGGAGCGGTCTGGCTCCATAACTTGCCTCATAAGTGAGAAACAAGAAGTTTGGTCCTTCTCCTCAGCACTGGCGGCATAGAGCCATCAGCTGGCGGCATAGAGCCATCAGCTGGTGGCATAGAGCCATCAGCTGGCGGCATAGAGCCATCAGCTGGCGGCATAGAGCCATCAGCTGGCGGCATAGAGCCATCAGCTGGCGGCATAGAGCCATCAGATACTAGTCCGTACTGCTCTTTCACTAGGAGCTATCACGCTATTCGGACCACCAAATCTCGTATGAAACCAGTCTCAGGTCCTGGCCCCCATCTACCAATAGTCCATATTTCCACTGGTCTGAAAATAGTTCTAGAATAGTCAGAGAGGACCTTGTTCCGGCCGTTTGGTTTTGTGCGGCCTTGGATTGGCTGGAGGTCGTACCCTTGTACCCAGTCAAGGACTGATTATCAGGGTCAGCAGTCGTCAGAGACACACACTTGCCTCCTCTTACGAAACCTGTACATCTTGTCCTCGCTTAGAGTTAGGTAGTGTAGGGTCACGCTAGTCTCAGGGGTCAGGGATTCCTATATTTATCATATATTTGTCATCTGCTCATATATCTATCAAAGTATATATCTATCAATGAACACCACAGTAACTGGGCAAGACTGGCGGTGGTGTAGACGGTGTGGGTGATGGAGGACGTACCTTGAAGAGCTTGCCGAAGGTTATGGCCGCTCGGCCGTCGGGGCTGCGCCACTCCGAGCAGTCCCAGATCATGTCGCAGAGGTAGCGGATGTCAGTCATGATGCGGGCCTCCGCTGCCTGCCTCCTCCTCTCCGTGGCACTTCCTGGCAGCGGCCTGGTGCACGTCGACACTGTTACTAACACCTCACCACATATATACTCACTTGTTAATACCTCACCACACATATACCCACTTGCTAACACTTCACCACACACATATCCACTTGTTACTACGTCATAACATATATACCCACTTGCTAACACTTCACCACACACATATCCACTTGTTACTACGTCATAACATATATACCCACTTGCTATCACTTCACCACACACATAGCAACATCACCACATATACCACATACTAATACATCATCACACACTAACCACCTCACCATCACAGATGCTAACACCTCACCATACCAAGAATCAATGTCCCCGCGGCCGGGTTTCTGACCAAGCCTCCTGATTAGTGATCTGGTCAACCAGGCTGTTACACACCGCTGCTGCTCACAGTCTGAAAGTTAAGATTATCTAACAACCAAACGACATTTGTCCTTCATAACGGAGGAAATTTCTTAAAAGAGTCTTAGCTATTGATTAGATATTGTTTTTATTTGCGTATCCCCCCTTCTGTCCTAGCCTGCTTGCCGTAGACGACGTCCGTCTCGGAGAGCTGCCATATCCTTCTACCCTCCTTGAAGGAAACATAAGATTCCTTCATGTTTGAAACGTTGAAGAGGGGTGTTTGTACGTACATGCCATAACCCTCGTCGTCCTTGGAGAGCCTCCTGGCGGTGCTGCCAGCGCCCTCCCACTCGCTGAAGGGGTTGTCCAGCTGCGCCGCCTTGTGCTCCTCGATTTTTTGGTTGAACTTTTTCTTAATGTCACTAACTCCCGCGTGGTAGAGTCGCAGGTCCAGCGGCATCTTGACGGCTGCTGGCGATCAGTGGAGGCTGAGCTGTCTCTGTTGAGTGGTCTTCGTGACGCTCAGGAGTACCCAAGCGATTTGAAAACTAATGGACTGAGTTATTCTGTGGAGAAATTAAAATAATCTCAGTCTGTAGAAGTTTGTGAAACCTGTTTTGGTATGATATTAATGAATGCTCGGAGGTTAACGATTACTTGTAATATATGTTTGATTTCGAACAGATCGTTCGAAAAGTGTTGAATTGGCGGTAGGTTACAAGTGCCTCGGTTGACGTAGTATGAAATAGTTTAGGGACTGGATGGGTTAAGACGAAGGTTGTTTCAGGTGGAGGCCGGAGACGCCGTCACCACGCTAGTGACGGGACGCGAGAGTGCAAGTCTCCAGAGAGTACTTCAACAAATATGATTTGCAAGTCTTGTAAATTATTAGTAGGTCTTGTATACATTTAAGGAGGGAACCTGTAAATGATTTGGAGTCTTGACATTTATTTAGGGTTCCTTTAAATTATCAGCAGGATCATGTAAATTATTGTCTGGTCTTTTAAATTATTTGCAGGTCTTATAAATCAATATCAGGGCTTGTAAATTGTTAGCACATCCTGCAAGTTATAAAGGATTATTTTTTTTTTAAATTAGTAGAAGTTTTACGACGAGACGAGTTTCTTAAGACGCTGCTATTGGTGTGAGTGTTGGTTGGCAGTGGACAGGTCCTGCTTCCTGTAGCGGGTGACTGTACCCAGACTGGTGCTCTGTTGGGGTGCAGGCAGATGCTCCTGTTACACCTGCGATACCTGGACGAGTGGTCACCTGTCGTCTTCCTGTAACACAAGTGTTTTGTTAATACAATTGGGCCTAAACATTGTTCAGTCTATGATCAAATAGGATGTGCTCGCCCTATGCTGCCTTGTGCACGCCCAACTGTTCTGAGATGAAATGTAATGCTAGGAACCCAAATCAATAATCATGGATGATGAATTTCATGATTACTTTAGAGGAGACTGTTCTGTCTGAGAACGAGAGAGCTACTGCAAAATTTCACATTGGGCGGAGTTTGTACATAATGACACTGAAGATTGGTGTAATAATTTCACCAAGGTCATCTATGAGGTTAGTGCCGTCAGTGTCTCAAGAAAAGTATCTTGTTAATGCAATCTATTCTAAACTTGATTTTCATATAATTGTAATTTTGGCCTATATATGAGACCAGAATATTCCAGGTGTGGAGCTGGTCCACCTCACATACGCCTTCTAAATATATCATTAGCGTATAACTCGTACTTCTTTTAGAATGAAACGGTTGCAATACATTAATGGTTGTGAAAATAAAGCACCTTAAAGAACTAGTAGGTGTGTGGTTCCCGGAGCCATGGTAATTGTGTATGGTATTAGTTATTCATGGTAGCCAGTTTATCAGGTTGTGGAGGAGGCCTTAGACTAGTAGCTGACCTTAGTCACATCGACCTTTGATGGTAGCATGGTGCTGTGTTGGTATGCTTAGTTAAGGTTTGTCTTCTGTGGGTTTAGTGTCTTTAATGCTAAGTGTTTCACAGATGTTCGTCATGTTATTGACTTACTGCACAAGTAAAGTGTTCAAAATATGTTCTACGAAAGTCAGCATAATATTTATGCTCTCAGAAACCTGAACAATATGCAGATGTTACTTTTATACATAATTATAATTGCAATTTTTTGGGGATATTTCAAGAAATTTTGACATCCTAACCGGGCTGTCAATGGCAAAGTTCAAATGATTACAAGCAGATTAATGATTTTATGAAAATTAAGCCACCCAAGAGGTAGATTACAAGAAGTAGAAGTAGATTACAAGAGGTAGAAGTCTAATAACTGCTTGTAATCTTGTAATTACTGATTGAAAGGTCTAATAACTGGGCATTCAGTGATGTAGTGTGGGAGATCATGCCGCAGTTCCTGCTCACAGAGTTTGCACCTGGAGTTCTCAGGATTGGGAGATCCGTTACCTGTAGCCACCTACCACAGGTAACGGTAACCCAACCTGATCCTTGTAACCACTGTGTCGCACAGTCTGGTGGATGTCTTAACCATTGGGAGTCAGTAACGTCTCCTATCAGACCCGAGTGTTTGGTTCACTATATTCTTAACAGAGATAATTTTTTTTTTATTAATACATGAGGTACATCTGCATTAGTGCAGCTGCCCTAGACTATATGAAGTGGAGTACAGTGTGTCAAAAAAGCTAACTAGGTGATGCTAAAAAATCCCCATCACACAGGATGGTTAGTCATACAGAGGCATGTGATAAGCAGTCTGCACTGGCAGACTCTGGAAGCATTTTGAGGATATCATCAACACAAGAGTGAATAAGGCAGCAGTGGTAATAAAAGTCCCCATCTCGCAGGATGGTTAGTCATACAGGGCCATGTGTTTAGTTGCCGGCACTGGCAAATTTTGGGTACACTGTGAGGATATCTTCAAGAATACGAGAATGAATAAAGTAATTGCAAAGCTTTTTTCTTATAACGAAAAAGTCTTCGGACATCTGAACGAATATTTCACACTTGATCAGAATTTTTTTAGTATTATTATTTTTCTACCACAGACGTGGCCAGACATTTATAACACTAACCAGCATATATACATTTTCTTCTGTCCTCCATAGACAGGGTGAGAGATCTGTTAAACATATAGTTCAGTGATTTATTGAACAATCAACCACAGGTGATTGTAGTGCTTTTAAAATGCTAACCTAACCTATTTACACAGACTTACGTCTGTCCTACGTAAACAGTGTTCGAGTTGTCTTTTACATAGTACCATTAATGTGAGTCAACCGCCGACCACACAAACCGTAGCCCGTCCCTCTATCCAACCAACAGTAAGTGGTCAGGTGTGACTAAAAGGAAGAATGGGGGTTGCGGGGGTGGACTTGTGGGGGGGGATGGATTGAGGGGGGAGGGGGGCTTGTGGGGATTGACGTATAGTTTATTGGGTTTGTTGTGGGTAGGCTTGTTGGGGAGGCTGTTGGAGGTGGGCTTGTGTGGGGGCGAGTCTGTGTGTGTGGGGGGGGGGGGAGAGATGGAGTGGGTAAGCTGTTTAAAGATGTGTGAATGGTTTAGTATATGGATGAGTGGGCGGGTGTTTGGTTGGTGGGGTGAGTGGGAGAGTGGGCGGTTGGTGTGGTGAGTGGGAGGGTGGGCGGTTGGTGGCTGGTGGGTGGGAGGGTGAGAGGGTGGATGGGTGGTGGCGGGTGGGTGGCAAGGAGGTAGGGCGGGAGGGGACCGAGAGTGTGGGTGTATGAAGCAAAGGGGTGGCGGATGTTCGAGGGAGGTGGTGGGCGCTTCCATGTAGTGAGGGCGTGGGTGGTCACACTGGGTGGGGGTGAACACGGTGGGCGGGGAGGGGGGTGACCACAGTGGGCGGGGAGTGGTGGGGGTGGCCCCAGCGGGCGGGGGGCGGCCATAGTGGAGGGAGGTGGCCAGAGAGGGCGGGGATGCAGGGCCGGCCAGGGTGCCACAGTGCCTGCTGGCCAAGGTCGTCCACCCGGCCCAGCCATCTTGCAGCCGGGAATCTAGGTCACAGCTTGCCCTAACTTAGGCAAATATTTTACTGGTGTTTTTAGCCTTAGGGAGTTCTCTCCCGCCTCCACCTCCTCCACTCCACCTCCTCCACTCCACCTCCTCCACTCCACCTCCTCCACTCCACCTCCTCCACTCCATCCCTTCCACTTCAAGTGCTCTACCTCTCCCATTTCTCCTGCATGTCCCCTTCATCCTATCCAGGAGCACTATCTCCCTTCCGCAGCACCAGTAGTAGTTTTCGTGTGACCCCCTCACCGCGGGCTGGCTCTGGGGGGCGGGGGGCGATCACCCCTACACCAGGGTGGCCCCTGGGAGGCCAGCACCTCACCCTAAAGTGGCTCTGGGGAAGGGAGCACCTTACTCTAGGGTGTTTCTGAGGGTTCTTCACCCTAGGATCACATCTCTGGGGGATCTCACACTGCACCTCAGGTCGGGGCGGCTCTGTGAGGGGGTGAGAGGCACCTCCAATTTCGCCTCTCCGCTCTCCAAACCTTCTCCCTCACTCTTCTCCCCCCTTCCCGTCACCATCACCCCCTCCCTTACACCCCCCAACAACCATACCTATACTTTTCCGTGTCCTTCCTTCCCTGGTGTGGCGAAATCCTCTTTTGAACCTTGACAGTGAGCTCACACCCCTTCCACCCCTTCTGCGGGGTGATCCCCACCAACCTCCCCTTCCACCTCCCTACTGCCCACCTTACATTTGTGAGACCACAGCACAACTTTTCCCACACACACCACCAGCCCACCTCCCACGCCACACACACACACACCACCACCAGCCCACCTCCCACGCCACACACCAGCTCTTGCCTATACCTTCCCATTCTCCCATCACCACCCATATTAATGGGCAAGTCCCCCTCCCCCAGGGTCAACACCAGTTCATCATCCTCTTTCCCCCCCCCCTGCCTCTGGTAGGTGCACCCCCACACCCCCAGGTGACACACTACCCTTCCTCCTTACCGTTCCCCCATAGATGGCCAGCCCTCCATAGATGGCCACATGTGAATATGTGGCCATCATATGGAGCATATGTGAATTTATTGCTAAGCCCCATTTTAGTGTCTGTAAAACTAGGAATGTTGGTGTCCACGCCTGTGTGTGTAAACCGTCAATGTATATAGTGAACAATACAGATTCGAGAAAAGAGGTTTGGGGCACTTGTCTTACCTCTCTGCCATAGTGTGACCGGGCATGGCGACCCTGGCTTCTGTGTTACATGTGTCACTCTCATCATTAATGCATAATTACTATAATAATATGTAGAGCTCTCTCTCTACTTCAGATATTTGTAACAAGAACGAGAGTAAATTTGTCAAACTTGATCCCTTTCGTAGCCACGTTGCGAATCTTTTTATTAATCTGTTCTTTTCACCAATACGAACAACTCTGCGATAATTGCTTCAGGTAATATTCCCACATTCGACATTAAACTAATTAAGAGTAGAAAGCCGTGATAATTATCGATCTTCCCTCCAAAAATGACTTCATTTCCAACCTTCCACAATTCTAAATGATTTATTGAATATACCTGTTGAGGCCTGACTAAACCTCTGGCATTATTTTAAGACCCCCTGTAAATACCTGACTGCCTCGAGTACTTTATAATTCTAATGAATAACTTTCTTTAACCTGTAACTGTCAGTTTCCCCAGACATATTGACAACCTTGTGTATAGTGAAGATGGTTAAGGGGGAGTACCGCCCCCCTACTTCACCCCCTGCCCCCTCTCCCAACACCCCCCCCCCCTTCCCCAACACCCCCCCCTCCCCCTCTCGTGTTCCCACCAGGAAACAGCTAAACACTCCTTCATCTTGACCACACTGGAAATTCTCCCGACCACTCCACCAAGACACATCTCTAACACCCCTATTCCCCGTAACACCCACTTCCCCCCCCCTCTGTACATAGAAACGACTTCTACACCCTCCGCCCCTCCCCCACCCCCCCCCCCCCATCCAGGAACAACTCCCCCACCCCTCACTTCCCCCTTACCTCTCCCTCACTTCCCCCTCACCTCTCCCTCACCTCTCCCTCACCTCTCCCTCACCTCTCCCTCTCCTCCTCTGCCTCGCCGCCTTTGGTATCCTCAACTTTAGACAGCGTAGGTGGTGGCGGGGGTTGTCGCCTCGGCTGGCCACACGCACACGCACGCACGCGCGCACACACACACTCTCACACACACACTCGCACTCGCACACACGCACATACACACACGCATATACACACACGCACATACACACACGCACATACACACA